AGTCTATCACCCCCATTTTAGGTTCAGCTGTTGTCGTTCAAAGACCGTATTTCTCCAACGCTTATATATTCAAAATGGTACTTCGACAGTGCTTAGCGTGCAATGCCATGGTAAGTTTTAAAAATGACCTTATGATTTCACTGAAGATAGCAATATTACTGCATGCAGAGGAGTTTATTTCGAGAAGGAAATATTCAAATTTATCTTTGTCCGTTGATAAAATTAATTTCCATATTAACGTCCTATTCCGTCACACAACGACGAGAAGAGCAACTTGATTAGTTTTGGTCATGTTGACGACAACTTGCTTCCTCTGGATCGTTGTCTAAATTACAGATTCGCAAAAATTTATCGACTTATTGAATCTGCAGTTAAATCTCAAGTATTTCACGGTAGTTTTATACGCTTGCCAAGCACGCGTTGGCGACCCAAGGCAGGTCAAGGCGGGCTCTCGAAACTATTGTACACCCACATTCTAGTTCAAGTAACGTAAGCTTACATACATAGAGATTAAGGGGGTTGCCTATATTTTGTCGAACACAATTTCCAAGATCTGCACCAAGAACGTTGTTTTCGGAGCAAGCCCTAGAAACCCCTTTTGTTATTTTCCGCCCTCTCACAACCTGATGTAAAAAAATCAAAAAATCGACAAATCTGCTGGGTCAGGTTCTCTAAAGCCCTAAATGCATTGGCGGATTTGTATCTTACTTGTTTTAAGGGATTCAGCCGTTTTATCATTTAATTGGCAACTTGTTAGATGGAACATGAGTCCGCCATGAACGGATGTTGATCTTGCATATCATAGTCGCGCTTTTTCCGCCAATTGTGAAACACAAGCATTCGTGTTAAAAACTCAGTTAAACCTTACTCACTTCGATTCAGTATGCTGACTTCAGGTATATTTTCACGTCAAAATAAATATTTCAGGATTAAACATATTTGACTACTTCAGCTATCACAGCAATTTCAGTTTCGTAGAGGTCGCAAAGATTCTTTTACAGCCGATCAGCTCTAATTTTACCCGGTGCCGTTCAGAGAAAGTTGGTGAAGTTTCTCCTTTAAAGCTCTTCACAAGTATTAGGAACATCAGTCGCGCTATCCACTGGATAGAGATTTATCCGATGGATAGCTTTATCCACCTTTTCAACAACTGGGGCCTGGAGTTAAAACCAAGATACAATTTTACGTGTAAAGGTGACAGCTTAAAACTAACAAGCTATGAACAAAATTACCCGAAGTGAAGTTTACTTCAGAACTTTGAATTAGCTCGTTTTATATCTATTATTTGACTTTCATGTCAAACTGCACAAACTCGGGTGATTACTGAAAAAATGAATCATGCCCAAAAGCATTGCAATAATCATCCTCACCTCTCTCCCCAGATTACAGATTCGTGCAGATCCTGCGCCTGTGGTCACGTGTTTGAGGACAGGAAACAGATTGGTGGAAAGAGATTTTCAGGTAGGAATGTCATGACGCTGGTTATAACTGGTTATTGGTCTCATTTGCATAGAGTTAGTGACATCGATATATGAAGATGTAAATTTGGACAGGTGCAGAACCCTGATCCGGAGCATCTTTGGCAATTTTCCCACTTGGTGTTCAGACACAGTGCCCGACGATACCGAACTCGCTGAGCACTAATGTGAACACGCCCTTTTTGCAATTATATACGCAAGAATTCGGAAATGGTGTCAGTGCCGCAGTACTCGGGCAATGTACTGGGCACACGCCTCTGTGTGCACACCTTTCCTGTTAGCTCTGAGGCAATCTACTGCTTTGTAAACCCATAACTCCTCTCACGCAATGGCATACGTTCCAAATGGCGTTTCAAGTATTTACGCAGTTACATATAATGGTGTTGTGTACACCCAAGATGTGAACACAATAACATTTTGTGCCAGTATTGAGACACCAGTGCTCGGCCAGCACCAAGTGTGAAGCCGCCTTTGACGAATCCCAGTTAAACTGCCTGTCAATTCAACGCAGGCGTACTTGCGTACTTAGACATTGTTGGCCGCCTGTAAGAAGGTCAAAAACGGACTTCATGTAAAAGCCTGTTTCAACTTATAAGGTTCTTTTTTTAACAAGAATCCTTTAGACAACCGCCTTTCCGTCCCAAAAGTAAAGAGTTCATTAGCGACATATACAGTCGAATCTCGAACCATGTTTTACGTTCGTGACAAGTCGAAAAAAAAGAAGAAACAGTTTACTGCAGGTCCCGGCGAAACATTGAATTTAACTGAAATTAAAACAAGCGTGTATTCTTTTGCCTTTACTTTTTTTGTCAGTCCAGTCCAAATGCAGTGTCCAGCCCTGTATATTAATCAGGCTTTGTCGCTTCTGATTTCGTTTGATTCCTTTTTCAAAATACCAGTATATCTCTTTCTGCCCTTCAAGTTAAGTGTACATGGTACTTATTTTAATTGCACACCTTCACAATCGTCGTTTCCTTATTTTCGGTTATTGGCTTCGAACTCCCGATAACTGGAACTTTTCTCTATTTCCCCACAAGGTTCAAGTTATCAGGAATCGACTGTAGATTTGACTACGAGTGAAATCGCAAACGAGTCAGTACTGACGAATTTGGAATTTGAAGCTAAATGCATCCCCTGAATAACAACGCTTCTCTTTTGCTGACTAGCACTCGTGGTCGTACTTAACTCAATCTCGTTAAGTTCTATTTCGTAGTCCAAATCTAAAGCGAGGGCGTCGAAGATACTGTATACAGCTATTTCTAGAAACATTGTCGGAAAAAAATGTGCACGCGACAATCCTGAAAGGTAATATGCGATATGATTGATACACTGTTTCTGACGACTTAAGCTGTCGATGCTACTTTTGTTGTTTTACTTTAGCACTCGCAAGCATACGTCCATGGCCTCTCGTGCCATTCTTTCACATTTCTTTGAACAACGGTGAACACAAAACCAACCACAACACCTTTCGGGATTGTCGTGTGCACTTTTTCCGACAACCTTTCTCAAAATAGCTGTATAGTCTAAGATCAATAGGAAGATTACCATTCCCTTAAAGCATTGCAATTGATGAAGATACCAGGAAATGCCCTTATAAACCGACTAAATTAAAAACGCTATCAAGTAGCACTTTTCTTTCACTGGCATCATTCGTTTCAGCATAAAGGATTCACGCATTTTTGGGGGTTGTTGTTAAATTTCAGAATATAGGGCAGCGTTATACACTCGTCTGGAAAACAGAAGAGAAAAACAGTTGAAGCGGAAAAAGAGACTACAAGTGAATGAAACAGAAACTGGACCACAACCTCTAAAGGAGCGAAAGGTACGTACAGTGTAGGAAAGCTAGAGATGTATTTAGTACCTACGGAATCTACAGTGCTGTGGCAGTGAGGGAGTTATCCATGGCGGGCCCCATTAAACCTGTGTAGCAGGCGTTCGAAGGACGAAGGAAAGGGGAAATTAAGTTAGGGCGCAAGTACACATGAAGGGCACGCGAGGGAGGGAGAAAGAAGGAAAGTAGGAATTCCTTTCCCTCTTTCCTCCCGCGTCGAATTTCCCCTAATTTCCCCTACCCTTTGTTTTTCTCTCTCCCCGCCGCGTATCGCCTTTTCTCGCGTGGGGTGATTTTCACGCGCGCTCGCGTTTCGCTCGCTCTACTACCCCTGAGGAAAAATGGGGTCTACTCGTAGTCTACTTTCAAACGACTTCCACACGGGCTTCGCATCGCTAGTTCAGGGCCACAGAGGAAAATTTCCTGTAGCTTAAAAGGAAAGGACTATGACACCTAATTTGCTATTGCCATGCTATTGCTAATGTAATGTCTTTATCACCTTCATAACTCTACAGTATATAGCATTCTGGTGACATGCCCCTCTTAGCGAGCCTTAAAGGAGCTGTGTCACGAAATTCAGCCAAATTGGTAATTACAAAATGCTCGTTAGATTAAGAGAAACATAAAAATAACCACTTAAAACATTAAAGGAAGGTTAAAATAACACAACAGATACAACAGATTCCACGGATGGGCAGAACTGAAGAAGATTGAAACGGACTGAAATTAGGGTTTTTGAAAACTGTTCAGCCCAACAGTTTTTCAAAGTTGATCTCTGCTGTTTGCAACTTCAAATATAATGATCAAGAGACGTATCTATTTGTCTCAAATCTTTGATTTTGTCATTCACATGTAATTTCTTTGCTTACATTAAGTTCCATAGCGATTACGGGCGAGCAATTGGCAAAATTAAACAAAATGAACTGGACTGCCGTGACACAGCCCCTTTAAGCGAGCCTTCTCTTTCCCACAGGAATTTCATATTTTCTTGAACGCTGCCTCATTTTTTCCCCAATTTAGATTAATGTTGAAGACGCCACAGTTCTTCCTTCGGGTTTTGAACCCAAGAACTACACCTTCAGCTCCAAAAAGCATCACCGTAAAATAAAGGGCAAAAAGATTCATCGGCCATCACCGAGCCCAAGTACCGTACCACCGGAACTAGTGTCTAGGCTCCCAAGCGCTTTACAGGAAATTAACCGAAGACTGACAGGACAAAACATGATGTGGTGGATGATGCAGTTAAATTAAAAATATTGCCGGTCAGCATGATAAATATAAGAGCTGATGAGCGGAAGAGCCTTTATCGCAACCGTGCATGAGGATCTTGTAAATTCTATTTATAGACGGAATTTTATATATGTACATATACGGTCGTTCAGTCCAGGAATTGACCTAGTGCTGCATGGTCCTTCAGTGAGTTGATAGTTGTCGTTCGTCATTCATTCTACAAGAGTTGCCACTGAGCATTAGAGAATGAGAGGATTACGTTGCCTAGATGAAGATCTCCCGAGGTCACAGGCTTAATGCATAATGCAAGTCAGCTATGACGATCGAACAAAGCGATAAACAGTCATCTTGAGATAATGATTACTCAACTGTACTGAAAAAAAAAAACTATACGGGCAATGCCGTTTGAGAAGAGTACCGCCACCTTGATGCTGTACATTTGATGTCATTGACATATTGACATAAAAAACACTCACATATCATTTAAGTCAAAAATTCAATATCATATAGAAGCCATTTTAAGAAGTGGCGTTGGTAAAGAACATTTTGAAATATAAGTTATAAAGCATTCTAAATAAAGTGTGTAAGCCTCTTCTGGTTTCAGTGCATTCAAGCTGACTCGAGCTTCACG